TACAATTGCAAAATGTACATAATCTTTCATATAATAGTATACATGCCTATCTTCCCAGCTCACTTGGTAGACGGTGATTAGTAGTACGGAATTTGCAACTATTTATTCTAAATTTTAGTGGTAAGATACTTAAAAATTCTCACACGGATGGGACCTTAAAAACCGAGGCCCCGTGTCAGCGGCAGGCTTTTGTACGATAAAGATCCCTCACTGCTCAGTGGTCCTGAGTGCCGAGTAAAGGTCAAAATTTGAAGCCCTTCACCGGCATACTGGTGAACTCCATATGTGTGAAAAATTCTCGAAAGGTACGTTAAACAACATACAATCAATCATTCAGTCACACTCGAAATTTGTTTAAAAGTTTAAAACAAAGTACCTTTAGAAAACTATTAATATCAGAATGCCATTTTTGTATAAATTGATCTTGTAATCTTTGTTTAAGGTATTCAATGTATAATTACCATATTTTGTACCTAATAAATGAATTATCCACTATGTTTAATCAAGGTAGTATTTTGAATATGTTAGTAAATCAAATAAATTATTTAACGCAGAAATTTTGAGAAATCAAAAATTTTCTTCTTTATATCAAGGGCAGATATTTCTGGAAAGTTTGGGTCGATTTAAAGTCGATAAAAATTCATAAAGTGATCCTCATTCATCATCAAAATTAATGTCTCCATCAATAGAATTAGAGCAAACTATACCATTACCCACAACTCATGATACAAACAATACCATGTCGTTTACAATTGAAACGTTTGCATTCACAATTTAATTTGCAGTTAGGAGGGGGGATGTTTTCGTTGGAACCAGAATCCCACTTTCCAACTTCCATCCTCAGTCTTTTGGCTCCAGGTTATTACCTATCTATTGTTGTACTTAATGGTATTCTCGGCAAATGTGATATATTGTAGCTGCATATGTCGATGGGAGACCGCATACTTCTATCTGTTTTTCAACACGGGGTGCTTTGGTGACAAATTTCCGAAATCTCAGTAGGTCTAGTCCTTCGCAAGGCTGAGCGCCAAACAAACCAGCTATATTTTTATAGCCTCTTCCCCTTGAGATGCACGCATTTCTTAAGATTACATCGGCGAATTTGTTAGAAAGTAAGAAGAAACCTCCTTCCAATAAGCTGAATTAGCTTTTACTTTCTTTAACATTTGTCCCTTACTCAAATCATATATTCTAGAGGTAGTGTCACAACCTGTCAATGCCGGTAAAAAAAATACACTCGCAAACTTCGTCTGTCAAATGTATCTTTGTCTTTTTAATGTCCCATAATTTTCCAGTTTTGTTATCTCTATCAGAGAGAAAATAAACTTCTTTGCTTTCCGCAAGATCCAAAAGATGCAATAAAAGCACCCAAAGGTCTGTGTCTTCTCCAATAAGAGCGAAATTATTTTCTTTTCCTTGCGATAACATCGTTTGAACAATCAGAAGGTCTGCATCACAGTCTGCATTTATTGTGCAACATCCTTACTTTCGTAGGTCAATTTGTAAGAGCTTAATAAATTTCTGTTTGTTTGATTGATTAGACAGAAACACTTATTTTTTTTTAACGAAACGGTGTATTTTCGTTGAAGAAAACATCACGTCCTGTCAGCCCCTTGGAGCGTCTGATGTGAGCAACATCTTTGGTTGTGGGGCCGTTTGAGTGACCATCAAAAGCAACTGTGCAGTTTGAAAATTTGGAAGCAACGTATCTTGAATAAAATTTGGGCATATCACCAAATGTTGATTTGGAAGTCCATGGTAATTTTGCAATAAAGACCCACCATCCAGTACATATTTAGTATCTACTGGTAAGGCATCAATCCTGCATTCACGCGACGTCCAAATTGCATCATTCTACAAGGGTGTTTTTTTGCGTCTCTCGTAATCAAACAGAGAAGAAGGATGACTTGACAGTTCAAATTTAAAACGTTCACTCATTTCGGGAAATGCGTCTCGGGCTACAGTTGTTATCCTCTGAAATAAAAGTTGGGAATCTACTTTGGGCAGTTTCATTATCAATTGATAAGGCTTGTTTAGCGTGCATGGTTATGGCTTTGTTCTTTTTCTTGAAAGAGAAGGTCGTTGCATCATTTCCATTCCATGGAAAGTATTCAGACCATCAATAGTACAGGCATTGTGATCAACATTGTCTGCGACAAACTGCGAACAAAACTCCTCTCCAACATCAACCTGGAGTGAATTGCCTTGTACCACAGCAGCGGATGATTGGAACTTTTTTTAAATTTCAAAGTAGGATGTGCAGAAGCCAAGATTATGCAAGGTTTTAGTAAGTAAACGAGAGGCAAAGTGTTGATGCAGAAGAACACCCAGACTGATTTGTAATGGTGAAATAATGACCATTGGCCTTGCCGCCTGAATCATCTCTTAACCAATTGCTGCTTTCTTCAGATTAGGATTTTTCAATGAAAATGCTATCTAAAAATTTTTTAAGTGACAGTGGTAAGAAATTTAAATGAAAATTCTTCGATCCTACTTCTGTTGGGGATGGATAAGATTGCTTTGAAATGGACATGCATTTAATGTTACTGCGTATGATCTTGGATGCAGCGGTTATCAGAGCAAACTTGTCTGACTCAGAATTTTTTTCCGTTGCATGTAGAAGTCAAAGAATTGATTTAGCTGTGTAGCAAAAATGACAACATCCAATTTGCCATTGACATCGGTGAAGACAATGTCTTTGTCATATTTTTGTCGAAGCTTGTTTCATGTACACATCACTGTAAGGAATTTCACAAAATTCTTCCATTTTTTTAAAAACAAGATCCACTATGGTAATTTGCTCATCGTTATTTGCTTCAAAATAATCAGTTATTTTCATGAATGCTTTCTGTTGTATGAGCTCTACTGGTCTACCTGAGGTACATTCCTTTTTTTGTTTCGCTGGTGTTGGAGAAAATGTACCAGGAATGTTTTTTTTCTGGTACGGAAATTGACACTACAGGTTTTGCGATATACAGCATCAGCTGCGTGTTAGTCATTTATATCTCCCGGAGCAAGTCTAGCACAATACCTGATAAAGGTATATAGCTTGATAAAGCTATATAGCTTTGTCAAGGTATTACAAATACCTTGATCAAGGTTTTTATGTAATGAAAATTCAAAAACATTCTTTTAAAATTAAATATTGAAAGTCGAATTCTGAGTTGTTGTCAGTTTGTCCACTCGTGCATGAAAAGCACTCTGGTATAAAAAATATAGCATAAAAGAACGTTTCCTCACACGACATGCGGTTATACTGATTTCTTTGTGTTTGAGTACTTTACATGCATGGGTGAATTTACTAACGATAGCACCAAAGTGTAAATGTGTTTGTTTACCTGTGAATAGAATGAAGATGATTTGTGCTTTCGCTGCATTAAAATTAGCCTTTTATTACTTATAAATCTGTTTAAAGCTTATTTATATTTATCTTTATGAAATATAATGACAAAATCAGTTTCTTATTTTACCACTTTATCACTAAAATCACGTAGGGAGGTTCGTGTCGTGAAACAGCCAAGATTGGCTTTAGAAACCTACATTTTATAGCTTCTTTCTGCAATATATAGTGTTTAAATTGCACTAGACGAACCACCAATGTGGTCTAAATAAGTATTTCATTCTTAAATCAAATGTACATTTCAACTGCACAGGTTTGATACGTGTTTCTGATCTGATCATGTTTTGATGACGTGAGAATAATGTCCGGGGCTTTTCTTTGATCTCGGCAATAATCGAAGTAGAATGAAATATAAATCCGTTGCTTTAAATTAACCCTCAAAGCAAATTTACAATAAGATGCTCTTGACAAAAACAGCCGAGATATGAATAGAGAAAATGCAAGTAGACGGACGGTTTTATATGCCATTTTCATAAATATTAGTGGTTTTATCCAAATTCTTATTCGAGGAGGCAGTTCAATTTCTGGAGGAGTCTACAAAGCAAAAGTTTGCAAAAAAAAAAAAAAAAAAAATCGACATGTTTAAGAAAAGACCAAACCAGAATCAGGAATCCACTACATTAAATTTCATAATGGCAGCGTCCCAACCCATACTTCCTGAAGAGTAAATGTGTTTTGGGGATAAACAGAAAGATAATGTTTTGTAATAGCAACAATATTTGCCGTATATGTCACCCTTTGACTTGATTTTTTTTCAAACGTGAAAAAACACCTTTCAGAAAGAATAAACAAGTCCAGGAAATCGTAGGATCTGCCATATTCCAGTATATGAAGGGCCATACTCAAAAAAGAGTTTAAAAAACAATCAGAAATTGGATTAAATGTTACGAACATTTGTTTCAATCAAAAGAGAATATTTAAGTTAAATCATCAAGACAAAATCATTTAAAAGCGTCTTTTGCTTCTTTCAGAGCACCGAGGACATTATTTATTTAACAGCACCTAGCCAAGATCTGACCCCATAAAATAATTTTCAAAAAAGGGAAAAAATATATATTCCGTGTTTCTAAGAAGAATAAGTAGATCCGCAATATAATATAAAATACGTTTAGATATGGTAAACCATGTATATTTATTTTTTCATCATTGAGAGAATAAGGTATTTGTATGTTCTTAATAACAAACAGAGCATGTTTCAATATAATCGATGTCTCAGATAAGATGACTATTTATGCCGGTAATTCATTAAACTAATATATCATTCAATGGAACAGGTTTTTTTTTTTTTTACTAATTATTAATTGTATATCTTTTGAATTCTAGATTCTCTATGGATCCAAACAACAGTGCCCAAGATGTCATTCGTTGTGACCTTTGCGAGGTCGCTATAGTGCAGATGCACTGTGATTTCTGTCATGTCAACCTGTGCATCTCTTGTATAGGAAAACATATTTCTAATGGCTATGACAAACATAAAGTTGTTCCATTCGAGCTGAGAAGATTAACGTTGATTTATCCTAGATGCAAAACACATGAAAAAAAGAGCTGTGAATTTCATTGCCAAGAATGCAACATCTCTGTATGCTCTTTGTGCACAACTATGTCTGATACACATAAGGGGCATACTATTTCAACTCTTGAGGATATCTATCGTTCAAGGAAAGAAGGAATTAGTAAAGATACAGAAGAACTTGAAAATATTATTTCCCCTTGCTATGAGGAAATAGCAACTGACTTAGAAACCCGGATAGATGACTTGGATAAAGATTATGAAAAACTTGTAACAGCATTGTCAGATCATGAAGAAGACTGGCACAGAAAAATTACCAGTATTGCCAATAAAGTGAAAGACGGAATTAAGGAGATCAAAGTCAAGCACATTAGTATCCTGAAAGAACATTTGGATGAAATCAAACAAATACTAATTCAAATTAAACAAACACGACTTAACCTCCTTACAATTGATGATTCAAACAAAGTAATATTGACCATGGAGTACAGATCTAAAAACGAAGAATTCAGAAAACTCCCTCAAAAATTTCATGTATCACCACCAAACTTCAATCCAAAAACAATTGATACAGAACAACTTTCTGAGTTGTTTGGATCTTTGACACCGCTATCCATAATAAGGGAAGCGATACGCTATAAAGCAAGGAAACCACATACATCAACTGAACATTTTCTTAGAGATCCAAAGGTAATTACCTCTATAAATACTGGGAATGAAAATCTTTGCTCTGTTACATGTCTCAGTGATGAAAACATTTGGATAAATGCATTCGACACCAGATCTACCGATATGAAATGCTTCAACATTCAAGGCACAGTTATGAATACAATCAAAACGAAGACAGGAAACTGGTCAAATGATATCGCAGTTACTGGAGATGGGGATCTTTTGTACTCCTCTGGGACATCAAGGACTGTAAATAGAGTTAAAAGTGGACAGACAGAGGAACTGTTCAGACTACTGGGCTGGATACCTAACAATCTCTGCGTGACATCCTCTGGTGATCTTCTGGTTACCATGTACAGCAACGACAAAACACAATCCAGAGTTGCCCGTTACTCTGGCTCACGTGAGAAACAAACAATCCGGTTTGACGATGATGGTAAAGCCCTATACTCAGGAACAGACTCCATAAAGTGTATCACTGAAAACAGAAATCTAGATATCTGTGTGGCTGACTTTAATGCGTGTGCCGTAGTTGTGGTCAACCACACTGGAAATCTCCGCTTTAGATACACTGGTTTTTGTTTTTCATCCAAACCCCAACTTTTTAAACCTTTTGGGATAACGACAGATAGTCAGAGTCAGATCCTTACGTCAAATTATCATAACGACTCTATCTACATCTTGGACAGTGATGGAGAATTCCTCACTTTAATAGATTGCTGTGATCTGAAGACCCCGACTGGATTATGTGTAGATAGTAACGACTTTCTCTTTGTTGCCGAGTATGATAGTGGGCTTGTTAAGAAGATTCAATATCTGAAGCAAAAATAACAAAGCCAAATAACAGTACTTGACTGTACTTCATAAAGTATATCTATAGCATGCAATATTCAAACAAACATTTACATTTCAAAAATACTGTTATGAATTAATCAAGAGAAATGTATTATATTATAAAGACAGAAATGTTTGGTATATTACCAATACAAACAACATTTATGTCAATTCAACGAAGCAAATAGAATATAAAATCATTGCGCCCCAAATAATCTTTCTTTTTCTCCATCAAGTATTTCGCGCCAGAAGATCACGATCACTTGCTTTTGAAGTTTTGCAGTATCCATGGATTTAGTTTATTCTGCAACAAATCCAATTCAAGCTATTTCAACCCGTAATCCATGTTGATTAAGGTTGACGTAAACCATGCTGATAAAGGTAGATGTAAGCCATGTTGATAAAGGTTGATACAAACATGTTGATCAAAATCTATGTAAACCACTCTGATGAAGGTCGATGTATTGTCATGTTAAATTATAAAGGATAATGTAGACCATGTTGAAAAAGGTTTATAAAGCCTTGATTATAAAGATTGATGTAGACGTTGTTGATAACAATTTATATATGTCACGCTGAAAACGATTTATGTATTGTCATGTTGATAAAAATTGTTGAAAGGCATATTAAGAAGTTGTAGTAATGAATGTTGATAAGGGTTGGAGTAAGCGATGTTGATTTGGAAATTGGTTGATATCATTGACGCATGCACTGTTAGAGAGGGTGCAAACAATTTTTAAAATAAAAGTAGAAAAAAGCGAACATTTATCAAAATCATTAAGATAGGTATACTATATACAGGTACTTTAGAATTTCACACTGCTACTTTGATCTTGACCCTGGTATCAGACTAAGCGGTTGGATTTTTTTTCATTTGATGTTAATAAAGTATGAGCTTGACGAAGATTATTGATCAAGTATAAAAATATTTACCTGCTTTAGGCATTAAAAAAATTATTCCTTTTTTAGCTCACCAACTGTAAACTTTTCACATTTTCAAAACCTTCTCAAGAACCACTCGGCCAATTATAACCAAGTTTGGTACAAAGCATCCTTGGGTAAATTAGAGTGTAATTTATTAAAAAAAAAAGGGCCAAGTCTGCTCAGAAAGGAAGAAAATCAAGAAAAGACAAGACAAAAATAGAGTGATTGGGTCAATAAAAAATCTTCTCAAGAACCACAGGACCAGAAAAGCTGAAACTTATTTGGAAGCCTCCTGGGGTAGTGTAAATTCTAAAATGTTCAAATTTTGCCCCCAGTAGTTGAGCGGGGTCGCACAATAGGGAATCAAACTATTACATAGCAATATATAGGGAAAAAACTTTAAAAATCTTCTTCTCAAGAACTACGGGGCCAGAAAAGTTGAAACTTATGTGGAAGCCTCCTGGGGTCGTGTAGTTTCTAAATTGTTTACATCAGTATCCCCGGGGATTGGACGGGGCAACAGTATGGAATCAAGGTTTTACATAGAATTACAAATCGAAACAAAAACTTTAAAAAATTCAAACGTATAGGAAAAATATAGGCGCTTCATAGTTGCTTATCCTGTGAAAGCAGAATTAAGTAATAAATGAAATTAAAACCCAAACAAAAAAAAATTATTTAACGACAGCATGAAATTCTTAAAAATAGTATTTGTAAGGGATTCTTGACGCTATGTTTTGTTTATTGCCGCTGAGTGTGCTCCGCGGGAACAGAACATGTTGATTATAAAATGAAGTAAATTGATTTCTATTAAGTCGAATGAAATGAAACTTCAAACATTCACAAAACAAAACATTTTTACACATTGATATTGTGCTTATTTTAACTTTTTAATGAGTCCATGAACAACTCGAACATTTCGAAGAACCCTCGGGGGTTCTTTAAAAATCTTTAAAAATCTTCTGCTCAAGAAACACCGGGCTTTAAAAATTGAAACATATGTAGAAGCATCCTAGGAGAGTGTAGATCCTAATTGTTCACATCATGACCCCCGGGAGTTGGGCGGGACCACACTAAGGAATCAAAGTTTTACATAGAAATTAAATAGAAGTTTTACATAGGCCAAAATAAAGAATCAAATATTGGCATATATATATATATATTAAAAAAAGCTTCAAAAATCTTCTCAAGAAACAGTCGTCTATTAAAACTGAAACTTATGTGGAAACATTCAAGTGTAATGTAGATTCTAAGTTGTTCATATCATGACCACCGGGTGTTGGGCGGGGTCACAGTAGGGAATCAATTTTTTACATAGAAATATATAGGAAAAATACTTCAAACGTATGTGAAAGCACCCTGGGATAGTGTCGATTAGTGACCCACTGGCTTCCTGTTTGAAACTGTATAACTTTCCAAAGCAAATTTAAATAAAAATCAAACCACTAAATTCTCAAACAGATCAGACTTAGCACCGAGGGCAACACAGCGCTAGTGTCTAGACGTTGTCCGAAATTCTTTTAAACGTCTTTACCAAGGCTGAAACTCTAGCTATATGATATGTTTACAAAGAACAAGAGCCATCTTATGCATAAAATGGCTCTGTACTTATATCAATTAATTAACCTCTTTCCCATTTCATATATCAAATAAAGTAGACATTTGGTGCTTTCATATTCTATAATAAAATTTCGTGTTGAGAGTCCCTATATTACAAAACCGGTTTGGGAAATTGCAATGTTCTTGAAATTTTCAGAAAAAATACGCATTTAAATACCTTCAGCAAAAAGATAAGATATGAGCACAGCCCACGATCTTCAGAAACAGAGCTTTCATTATGTATTTGCATATTTTGGATCAGGGGTTGTGCTCTATATGAAATATTGAAAAAAAGCTTCAACTTTAAGTCATTTTCAAAAGAATTTAGATGATATGAAGAAAATGACGCATTTTATGACATCATAATGCACTGACTAGAGGGAAAATTACGTCATGATAAATAAATAAGTGGTCAGCAACACTCCAAGTGATAAATACTGCATTTGCAACCTAAACTGATCTGTTTTGATTTTTCAAAAAAAAAAAAAAAAAAAAAAAAAAAAAAAAAAAAAAAAAAAAAAAAAAAAAATATCAGGGCCAAATAAGGCCCAAAGCGGCTCTTGCTCTTATAATGTCATATTCTTGGCAACGAAGGCGTACTGTTCCAGTCTATATGCATGTATAAAATGACATTAAATCGGGCGCAAAAATAAAAAAAAAAACACTTTAAAATAACAAATCAAGAGAATACATGTATGTATAAATTTATTATTATTATTAAATTATGATGAAAAACACTATTTAATGTACGATTAACAATTATTCGTAAATACTTAAGTGTAAACATCCACAAAGTAATTAAAAACAGTCTCAAATAAGATATCGAGTGAATTCAAATTTGTTTCTTTATTATAAGAAAATCAAATCTGCCTCTGGACATGAATTAACAAAGTAATCAATTCAGAATCAATTTTTACATGTGTGTGATGTACACCAATTAAAACAATAAACTTAGCAAACAAAGAATTACAGTAAAACTTGTTTAGTACGAACATGTATATAATGAATTCACGGATACAGCGAATTTAATCGGTCCCCGGCAAAATTTTTAACAAATCTTTGTAAAATTTTACGGTTATAACGAACTCTGAATAATCGAAATTACGGATATAGCGAACTGATTTTGAGTCCCGTTGAGGTTAAAATAATGAAAATATACAGCTTTTATAACGAGCTTTCAAAGACCTGAAAATATGATAAATTGAACTGACTGTATGTTTTAGCATTTGAAAATAAAAATTCAATTCATAATAAAACCTTAGTTTTCGAAGGTATATTTTGTAATATTTATAAGCTTCCTTAACATATTTGGTAGAAACACTTGAAGAAAAACATGCATATTGCGAATTCGCCATAATGGTTATACGAATTCGTTATACAGATATAACGAATTACGGATATAGCGAATTAAATTCACCGGTCCCGAGGACTTCGCTATAAGCGAGTTTTACTGTAATACACACAGAAAGAAAAATGAACACAGTCAATGGATACAACACGATGTCCCTTGTTTGCACATTCCAAAATTATGCACACGTGTATGCTAATGATATTTGCCAAATAAACATATTTTAACTTATTGCGATATGATGAATATTGAAAAATATTACATCCATTACAGCTTAAAAAACTAAAGAAATATTACATGAAAAGTACTATACATTGTAGACATTTGTAGACATTGCGCCATGTACTGTCTTTACTGCAAAAAAGGACAATTACTGGCCTTTTGACTGTTAGTACTTGCTGATAAGGTGCCGATAAACGTAAAAAATTACTGTTCCGTTTTACCAACCCAACAAAAAAGTAGACAAGGACGCAAATGTACACAAAAATTTCCTACAGATTGTGCAATGGTGTGATAATGCATGTGCGTTTAGAAAATTAGCATTTTATATTTTAGAAAAAAATATCTGTTATATATTTCCTGACCTGCAATTAATATATATGTGATAACGCGTTTATTAAGTTTTGATAAACATGATAAATGGGTATAATGTTTTGACAAAACTTGAAGTAGAAATTTTCGGCATGGCAAAACCCTAGTGAAAATACTTTTGTACTTGTGTGCAATTTTTTTAAATTACAGAGAAAAGTTTTTTGTTTGTTTGTTGTAATAGTAATAGTGTATGGAACATAAGAGAAATAACTCTAAATGACGTAACAGCAGGAAGTGTACTTGTTTATTGACCTCGCAACCGAGTCCACCATTATCAGAATTATTCTTGCAGAGATACAGAAATGAAACTGATTTTTTATATAGAGAACTGAATGAAGAAAATTTAATCACAGACGTAAGTACATGTGTAACTATTTTAACAGGACAAAGAAAAGAATTATGAACTATTTGAGATAAATTCATAGATAATAGAAAGGTGATCTGTCCCTTTAAGCATAGGTTGAAATTAAAGTTTATTTTGAAGTATAAAGGTTGTTTTTCCGCAATAATACAAGTATGTAAAAACACAGCAGTTAATAATAGAAGGGAAAAATGTCGTGCTAAATGAATTTTGATTTACCAATTTACTTTCGTTTTCACATTAAACCAATAAGTTTCTTAGTACATATCAAAGTTGTAGGATTATGCACGCTTTTACATAAAGTAAGTAAATAGAGACTGAAAATATGTTTCAATATTTTTTCCTTTGCATATACCTAGTGGTAGAGCGTTCGCTTCGTGATCGGGAGGCCCGGGTTCGATTCTCGATCGCGGCGCCGCGTCATACCTAAGACGTAAACAAAGGTAGTGACTGTTCCTTCGCCAAGCGCTCGGCACTAGAAGTGAAAGTCACGGGTCTTTCGGATATGACCTTAAAAACGTAGGTCCCGTGTCACGGTAGGCGTTGGCACGATAAAGAACCCTCACTGCTCAATGGCCCTGAGTGCCGAGTATAGGTCTAAATTTGAAGCCCTTCACCGGCATCGGTGACGTCTCCATATGAGTGAAAAATTCTCAAGAGGGACGTTAAACAATATACAATCAATCAATCAATCCTTTGCATATATAATGAATTATGTACTGATCGAGGACTTAATTTATTTTTTATCTATATATCTATAGACATAATTTAGATTTAAAAAATAAAACTTACTTTTTATTACTATAATGATGATAGATCATATTTTAGATTCAACATGGATTCCGTTAACAGTGCGCAAGATGCCCGATGTGATATTTGCAAGGACGCTATGGTACAAATGCACTGCGACTTCTGTCATGTTAATTTGTGCATTACTTGTATAGGAAAACACGTTTCAGATGACTATGATAAACATAGAGTCGTTGCATATGAACAGAGAAACACGATGTCGATTTATCCTACATGTACAACACATGAAACAAAATGCTGTGAATTTCATTGCAAAAAATGTAACATATCTCTTTGCTCTTTTTGTACAACAATGACTGCTGAACACAAGGAGCATCCAATTTCAACTCTTTCTGATATTTATAACTTAAAAAGAGAAGTTATTGAAAAAGATATTGAAGAACTAAAAAACATAATCTCGCCAACTTATGAAGAGATATCAACTGCCTTAGAATCCGAAATAGATAATCTGGATGGAAAATATCAACAACTTTCAGCGGTTTTGTCTAAACATGGAGAGGAATGGCACAGAGAAATTAATAACCTTGTAGATAAAATGAAAGCGAAAATTGAAGAAAATAAAGTAAAACACACAAATATTTTAAAAACACACTTGGATGAAATCAAACAGAAGCAAAGTCTTATTCGAGAATCTTTGCTAAACCTAAATAGAATCGAAGAATCAAATTATGTGTCCATGTTCATCGAATACAGCTCTGAAAATAAAGAATTAAGTAAATTCCCTCCGAAAGTTCGAGTGACACTGCCAACATTCAGTCCTCAAACAATTAATGCAAAACAACTGAATGAGTTGTTTGGATCTCTGACGCCATTATCGACAACAAAGGTAGAAAATGGCTACACACTCAAGGAATTAAGTTCAAAAGAACTGCTGAAGGAGCCAAAATTCATTACTTCTATAGATACTGGATTTGAAAATCTCCAAAGCGTTACCTGTCATAATGAAGGAGAAATCTGGACAAATGCACGCAACAACAGTGATATGAAATGCTTTAACTCTGAAGGCTCACTTATGAAAACTGTGAAAACGAAGTCAGGTGCCTCACCAAATGATATAGCCTTAACAAGAGATGGTGACCTGTTGTACTCCGATGGGGAAGCTAGGACATTGAATAAAACGAGAAATGAACAAATTGAAGAAGTGATAAAGCTACAAGGTTGGGTCCCCAATCAACTCGAAGTCACTTCCTCTGGTGATCTCCTGGTTGTCATGTACAGTGATGACTTCACACAGTCAAAAGTTGTCCGTTTTTCAGGATGCACAATGAAACAAACAATCCAGTTTGATAACGAAGGTAAACCTTTATATTCAGGAAATAACAAAATGAAGTACATTACTGAGAACAGAAACCTAAATATCTGTTTGGCTGACTGTGGTGCTAGTGCTGTTGTAGTGGTTAACAAAGCTGGAAAACTCCGATTTCGATATACTGGACATCCATGTACCAACAAAAATAAACCATTTCAACCCATTGGGATAACAACAGACAGTCAAGGTCAGATCCTAACAGCAGATGGTGAGAACAACTGTATTCACATCATAGACAAAGATGGACAATTCCTCGGTTTTATAGACAATGGTAACCTGAAGAACCCCTATGGAATATGTGTGAACAAAAATGATGACCTATATATTGCTGAGCATACTAGTGGAAAAGTAAAGAAAATTCAATACTTGAAGTAATATTACCCCTCAGACACATAAATTAAGCTTGTGCCTTGACTAAATGATAGACCATTTCAGGTTTTCGGAAAGCTGTCGTATACTCTTTCTTTAATACATGTACTTCAATGGTTCAGTATCTTATATTTGAACAAAAAATCGTTTCCTGTACAATTTATATGGAAGTACATATAAATTTGAAATGTCTATGCAAAAGGAGAACAAAATGGGGTTGCAGACACCTATGGTTGATTGTTGTGCTAGTGCTGTAAAATAATTTTAACTATACATGCAGTATATGCAAAGTTACAGAGTTGAAAGTGGCTATGTGTACTAGTAAGGCAAGGCTCCTACTAGCACTATCTAGTGGTTTAACCCTTTAGCTCAGTAGGTAGAGCGTTGTATTTTAAATCTGAGGGTTGTAGGTTCGAGCCATAGTGTGGACACCCCCTATTTAATCGGTCATATTGGCGCCCAACTACAAAACCTACATGGTGTGTGGAGTTAATAGAGTCTCGTGTGTGAGATTTCTCAAGGGTAAGAAATCATAAGAAAAAAAAGGGGGAAGTGTAACAGAGTTTAAAGTGGCCCTGTATTGTAAATAGTGAGGCCACGCTCCTACTAGCACTTTAGCTCGGTCAATAGACATTGGATCTTAAATCTGAGGGTTGTAGTTCGAGCCAAAGTGTGGACACCCCTAGCTAATCGGTCATACAATAAACACAGATTTTGAGTTTGTTTAAGGAATGTTTTTAAGTTTTGTGTTAGATATTGGTGTGTAAGTCACACAGACTTGTCTCATAGAGATATGTTATGAAGCGCTCTAGTTTTCGAATTAAAAAGAGTGCTTAAAAATGACCCATGATTAAAATTTGTTCAAGTTCATTTAAATTTTCGAATAGAGTACGGTCAATCATAAAAGGACTCTAGCGTAAAAATTTTAATGACGAGTAAAAATGGGATAAACACCTCATGGACGAGAGGCAACTTTGTAAGCATAAAAACAATCACAGACAGTTCAAGCGTGACTTGGGAATGTAAGATTTCGGGTAATTTCGGATTGAAACTAATTACCGACCTCGTCCCAATTGTGCCCTCGGTAATCATACTATTGTTAATGAAATTAAACAACAATTGATAAAACATAAGTTGTTGTTTTATAGTCCATTATCTTGGAAGGTATATCATGTAACTTTTACTCTATATTTCCACAGAAAGAGTTAGTCATATGGTATTTTACCTAAAGGTCTACTCCCTATATAAACAGAAAAAAATATCACACTTAATTAAGGGGCCCCTTTAAGGGGCACAGGTAGCGTTTACCTGTGTAACCTGTGTTTTAAATGTAAATATTTCACAAAAAATCCTATTGAAAATGGCACAAATAATCCAGAGAATTGAATGTCTCAGATTCATTATTGTAGACGCATCCGTGGCTCCGATCATAAAGTACCTAAATTCTCCGTTCATTGCTATATAATAGCTTTATTTCACAATGATTGATCCATGGAACATACGAGGGTTGTCCCGTAAAATCGTAGACAAGCTGTCTTGTGTGAAAAATAAACATCACTGCGTTCTGAAATTTTCACTTTTGTTTAGGACATATTTTAGTAATATACACAGCAAATTTCAGATAAATGTATGCATAAATGAACAAATTATGAAATTTTATGCCATGTATTGTATCACCTTACGGCGCATGGATTATAACGTCAAAGTGTCTAAAACAGCGTCACGTTTTATCTTCGCTGAAAATGAAGTTGGATGAGTCCGACTTAAAGTTTAGGAAATTCATTGATACACATTTTTTAGACTCCATAAACAGTCGAAGAACCAATTGGCACCCTCATGCGATCTTCTGAAAATTTATAAGTAAGTTACGGACAATATTCTCACCATCATTCAACTAATAGAAAAACTCATATCGGCGGTCTACTGTGACAGCGTCTTTTGCTATTACATTAGGAGTTTGTCCGTATGTTTTGTACTCCCCAGGGACTCGATCAAAAAGACTTCGCTAAGAAAAAATCTTATTTCATTTGTTTACTTAAAAGATATGGTGATATTTTCATAATCTTTTTTCTTCTATGGTCATTTCATGTCTCTAAAGATGTCATTACAACATCGAAATAAAACTGAACTGCTCTCCGGTACGCCGTAACGTCATAAAACGTAGCCATTTTTTGTGTGTTGTGTTAAACACTTTCCCATTTCGAATGCTCGAGAAACTGCCAAAAATTAACCAAATGCCTTAAAATTTTTACAAAGACTACAAAATTGACTGTGGAATTGAATTACGATAATTTTAATCCAAATCTTATGTATTTAAAACTTTTATTTTGAATTCAAACTTGTGTTTTCTTTAATAAAACCTTGGTTTTTTTACCGTGCGCCGTAGGACAATACGCCGGGCGCATTCAAGCATAATAAAATCTTTATTTTTGCCTATATTTTATCAAAAAAAATTATCATGCACTTAAATATGATAAATAAACATTTACTGAAATTTTCAGCTTAGTGTGCCCATTACTTTTCTAGAAAAACGCTTTTTCCAGGATTTTACGGGACAACCCTCGTATACAGAATCAAACAGACACAAAAGATGAATGAGAAGCATGTACTTTCTTATACAAAACCTTCGGCTTTTTGTTTATTGTAATATCCATTTTCCCGCATTTAGCATAAACTTAAGCTCACAACATTCCAACGGAATCTGTAATTTCGTCCGGTGATTTATGACAATTTGTCAACCTAGTCCTGCATCGTTTGAGCGAGTATCTGTCCTTCTGAGTTCGAAACCTGCACACAACAGAGAAAGTGTTGCATTTTTTAAAAAATACATCAGAAATAATCATAATCATTTTCATAGAAAATGCTTAAACAGTTGTTTGAGTAAAATCCTTCAAATCCTATTGCTTTACAAAAATTACCTGTTAACGGGAAACTGTTTCTTGCAAATTCCAACACATAAGAATGTATATCCGGATTTCACAATAAATACTTGAATTCACTGAGGCATCTTAGTGTTATCGATAAATGGCATCGTCAAATCACCCGCTTCTTAAGGTCTTTTTTTTTCAAAATTAAAATGTATGACGTCATACGTGGATGTTGCGTTGTAAAATGAATGAATTTTAAAGAATTTAGTAGAACTGACTTTTACGCATGCGTAGTATATATAAAAAATGTCGCAATGCGGATAAATAAGACTAAACAAAGTTAATGTTTATATTTATCGATATAAAACACCTCTTGATGATTCCTACTATTAATAAAGATAGAAGAAAAACCAAAACTGGTTTTCTTTGGCCTTACTTGATGAACAGTGCCAGGTAGTCATCCAAGCAGAACGAGACCTTAACTGTGGCTGTTCAATAAGTTAACAATGGAAGTGTTCGACAGTGGTGAAACGTTTTAAGTAAGTTATAAGCCTCAAACTGACCAATATGTCAAATATTAGACTCTCCTCGGCGCTAACGCGCCTCGGGTCGTCTAATATCTGACATAATGGACAGTTTTCGGCTTATACCCATTACTGAATTTTGAATATAATTTCAACCAACAACATAAATTATGAATAATTGGTAATAAGGTTGGATAAAACAAGTTCACTTTGAACGTAAGATGAGAGAAAATTACTGTCAAGGATGCTTTGAATTCGTCCAAGCCACGGTCCAAGTTGTGAATTAAAAAACACAAGCTACAAAACGGTATATATACTGGAATGAAATTCACCAAAGCTGTGCATTTACCATTGTTCTTTGTGTAGATGAAGATCTACACAAAGAGCAATGGCAAATGCACAGCTGAACGTTACGTACATCACAAACAGAAAAGGTGGTCACGACTTAGCTTTGCATGGATACATCTATACTGATTTCATTGCAAAATAGAGACAAAGCTCTTCTGGAAATGCATCGTCCCAGTTTATCAACTGAGAACAACATCCCCGTAGGATTCGCAAGACCTGGGCAAAGTTCTCGCCAAACAAATAATGAATTCTATCACAAAGCGATGCGCAGAAGAAGTTAGACATATCCCTTCTATCTTCACAGAAGAGCTCAGCTCCCTGCAAGATGCCCAGTGGGACGACATCAGCAAAGAAGTCATCGAGAACTTGCTAACCTACAACACTGCAAAATCATCGCTGTAAAGAGCTCACCGGAAACAGACACCCAACTCCCAAAGACACTTACAGACATCAGACTGGATGGAAAATGGACAGAGACAGAGACTGGTCAACAATTCCTACTTCTAGTCGCTACATTCCACAACACCAGAATCATTACCTATGCAACTACTGAAAACCTTAGAGATCTTACAGTATCCGAGACCCTTTTCTATGATGGTACATTTTACACCTGTCCCAGCCTCTTCTAACAAATCTTAAGTATCCATGCGCGGATTGACGACGTGATGACACCAGTTGTTTAAGCCCTCTTACCAAGCAATTGTCAAGCGATCTACACCAGATTCTTCTCAACTCTGCAAAAAAAAAATCAACGACCTTGGGTTATAGTTTTGTTCTATACCAATGCCCTAGCTGACTTTGAGACAGCTTTCCACAATTTCGTTCCACAAGTGTTTCCTGGAATCAACACAAAAAGGGCTCCTTCTTCAACTTCATTCAGGCGGTATGGCGAAGAGCGACACAGACTAGATTATAGGTTCCGTACAAAAAATAACGACGTCAAGACATTGGTTCGAAGAGCGGCTGACCTGCCTCTAGTTCCCCTCAACTGCATACACGTTGTATAGATTACAGCCCCGGAAGACCGATAAGAAGCTGACCTCACAGAGTTGACACAACTTTACAGACTATGTGATAGAGCAGTGGGTGAATGGTGACAAACTTTTGTAGAACCACTTTGGTGCAAGACCAAGAACAAACAACAGTCTGGAAGGATGGTACAGCAAGATAAAGAGAATGATTCGACACCCTCACCCCAACATATTTACAGTGATCAAGCTGTTCAAAGAAATTTAGAATGCCAATGAAATCTTATAAATACAGAGACAAGTCGGCGGAACTACCATACCACTAGCCAAGAAATATGCAACAATCGGGAGAACACTTTAACTGCTGTGAGAACGCCTCCAAAACGGGACAATCGATCTAATGACATACAAAGACTCCTCATCAGAGCTGTTGCACCTGGGATAGTGATCATGAAGAAAAATCTGTGCTTGTGAGATGAGAGATTAAACCCAGTTAATATGAAAAAAATTAAATGCTAATTAATGTATAGAACTGAACAGATATAAACTCTGTTTTCCATTTTAATAATGGATAGGTAAAGTATATTAATAGCCATTCTCTGTAACCACTTAAACTTCGTTGCCACGCATGGTCACCGATTTTGATGAAACTTCACCCATGCTTAGTACTTGACAAATATCAAACAAGGTTTCGTTGCTATGTGTCTCGGTTGCTATGGCAACAGCTGGAAAAGTTTGAAAAATCGAGATTTTCAGTCATTTTAAATCTTGACAGTGGCTTAATAAAAACTAGAAAAAGCAAACAAACCATTCTAACAAAAACATGACACCCTGATGTCACTTATACTGTAAAGAAACTGTTTAGAATATATCTCTAAGTAAGTGGTAACCAAGGGTACATTTGGAATACATTTAAGATGCTGAAATATGCTGAAAAACACTCCGTATTCACTAATGGTAGGTGTTACTTGCTCAAACTCAATCAACGACTTCAGAAAAACAATGAAATTGTTTGACCTTAAGTATATAAGTATAAGCAATATTATTCTATAAATAACTTTTATGGTTGCCATGGTAACACAGTGTAACCATGCAAAATCAGTAACTAAGATTGGGTTAATGCTACTGTCTTGGGGAAAAACATGAAAATTCAAGACTGGCAAATATGCATCCTTAGGACCTTGCAACACCAAAACCATAAGAGAAATTGGGTATAATTGCTACTTTGCAGTGTTACCATGGCAACAAAGCACCAGTGCTTAAAAGTGAATTATTTTTCGCTGCATTAAGAATTAAATTGCTGTTTAATCAAGAAACAAATTAAAGGACTTAGCTTGAATAGTACTTATCTGTTAGAACTGAAGTTGAATATCATATATTGATAAAAATTTGATGAAGAAATCAACACTGTTGCTATGGTTACCAAGAAGGGAAAATGTTCGATTTTGTGAACTTTATATCAATATTAAACCCTGTGTGCCAACTTCTTGCATCCACTTAGAGATATGATGATAGTCAAAATTAAAAGGCAGGTTAGCTGTTAATAAATATCAATCATAAAAGTTTTGGGAATCTACATTTGAGGGTACGTATCCAAGGAAAGAAAATATTTTTCAGGTTTTTAAGCATATATTTTCTGCTTATTTCCATAGCAACGCTCTTTTTAAAGAATCTAATCTGAATTTTCTCAAATGGGAAAAATAGGAGCACACCAATACCTTTAAAAATTGATCATTAGTTATGAGGAAATGTGCTTTTTTAAAAGATAGGATCAGATTTAAACATACAGAGTGTTACTTTGAAGGCTCTCTGTGGTATAAAAACCTTGGCAACCATTGCCAACCAAAATGAAATATCATATTTTGTTCTTGGTATATGTTTCAAGGCTCTTTTTCTATTATTTAGTCACATTTCATCCTATAATTGCTTTTTATTTTTACGTGTATGACTTTATAAAATTCAATAAATATTTTTTTTACTCTTGAATACTTTGTTACCATAGTAACGTATGTAATAGTTGATTTACCAAACATGTTTATCATGCATTTGAGACATCTGACCTTCAACTTTTGGAAACAGTCATTGCCAATTGTTTGCTTTGCCGCAAATGTTAACTATGGGGCTCTAAACATGTTTAAAAATGCCATTTTTCGAACTTTAAGACATGTTGCCATGGTAACTATAAAACATAGCAACCAATTTTTGCCTGATTTCAGTTTAGGGTATCAATGACTTTTATCATAGAGAGTTTGGAGAAATTCTGAGACTATGCGTGCCACAGCTCCTATATAAAATTTCAAATCATTACAGAGAATGGCTCTTAAATAGTACTTAAAATGTTATGTTAATAAAGAGTGCTCAACGTGTTTCATGTTTTTAAAAAATTAAATATTTATAAACAATAGTGCTTGTAATAAAATGTACTGAAATAAAAATAAAAAAAATATTTATATGAAAAAAAACCCCCACTTGTTTAGTTTCTTGAAATATAGTTATTTAATCATATTATTTTCAGAAAAAAAATAATTGATTTAGACTATTTGACAAGATAACACAGGTAAACGGTACCTGTGCCCCTCAGAGGCCCTCTGAATTGTGTGTGATAATTATACAGTTTGTATAGGTAGTAGACGTTCGAGGAATTAACCACTCAAAGTAACGGGAAAAAAATAGTGGGACCCATAACATATTTACAGGAAAGATGTTTTAAAGGTGTTTTACAAATATTATTGTTTACAAAATAAAGAGAGATAACTCAAAATGACATAAGACCAGGAAGTGTGCCTGTATTGTTTACCTAACAACCAGATTTTGATAACGTCCCGCATTTTTTACAGATAGAAATTTGAAACTGATTTTTTTTCGATTTCAATGAACTGTTTGAAGTGATTCATCTGAAAGCGTAAGTGCATTTCATTTATATCACGGCAAAGTCAAGAGCTTTATCATTTTTAATTTGATAAAATTTTAATTGACGTGCTCCTCAAACAGACGATGGGCTAAGAAAATAATCTAAAGCTGTACATCAGACATAAAATTGATATTATATGCAGTCTATAATTCAATAAACAATTTTATTCTGAAAATGATCATTATATCTTACTCAAACTGAGTACGTTTGAAAAGACTTTCGTTTTCACAGAAACCCAATTGCATAAATTATGTACATTAAATATTCCTTGTAGCAGTTGTTTACATCTGTTTCATACTTGGTTTTACTAGAAAAAGACGTTTATGGTAATCTAACAACCAAGCTTTATGATAAACATGATGACGTTAACTTTTCTATCGTCAACTTTCCTTACTTATGCAGAAATATACCTTCATCACCTGCATACGGAGTGTATATATCGCAGTTTATTCGATACGTAAGAGCTCTATGTATGGACAATTTCTAAAACGAGGTAAATTATTGACAAGCAAGTTAATGAAACAAGAATATCAGCTGTTTCGTTTGAAGTCATTATTGCGTAAGTTCAATGGTCGATACAATGACCTTGTCAGCAAATACATTTTATCATTAAGTCAAATGCTGACTGACGTTTTTCATACTCATTGTTTGGCAATTGTTTATCCATTGAATTGACGACGGATTTTTCCGATAATTACCTATCATGACAAGGGGCATACGGCGGGTGTGGCCAGTCAGCAGGGGATGCTCAGTCCTACATGGCACCTGATCGCACCTCTGATATTTTGGGGGCACATGTTTGCTCTGCTCTACTTTGTATTGTTTTATTGATTTTAAAATTGAATACTGTTCCTTATTTTCATATCCTTCTTGTAATAGTATCTTTCAAAATTTACTAAATTAAATTTTTGTTAAAAAGAAAGAAAAAATGAGAAAATATGTTTTTCTGATGTTTTGAATAAGAGGTACTAGTATAATTCAAAGTGAAAAAAAATAATTAGAACCAATACTTTTTTTTACAGAAAAATTATTACAATTTATAACATTTATTTTAACAAATGAAATTTATATCAAAATTTATGATAAACTACTATCGCTAATATTAGTATTTTCTATAAATTTTAGATTGACATGGATCCAAACAAAAGTGCTCAAGATATCGTCCGTTGTGATCTTTGCGAGAAAGATATAGCGAAAATGCATTGTGATTTCTGTTATGTTAATCTATGTTTCTCGTGTGTAGGAAAACATATTTCTGGTGACTACTATAAACATAAAGTGGTCCCATTTGAACGAAGAAAATCAACCTTGATCTATCCTGAATGCAAAACGCATGAAACAAAATGCTGCGAATTTCATTGCAAAGAATGCAATATCTCTCTTTGCTCTATATGCACAACAATGTCTGATACACATAAAGTGCACACAGTAACAACCCTTTTTGATTTCTATAAAGCAAAGGGAAAACTCATTACTAAGGATACTGAAGAATTAGAAAACATTATTTCCCCAGCCTATGAAAATAGAAAAACTGAATTAAAAACTCAGATAGCCAACTTAGATGATAAATATGAAAATCTAATAAAAGGAGTTTTAAATCAAGGTGACGAATGGCATAGAGAAGTTAACATTATTATCGACAAAATGAAAGCAGAAATTGAAGACATAAAAGTGAAACACACGAGTATCGTCAAAGCACATTTGGAGGAAATTGAAAGTATACTAAATCTTATTGAAGAGACACAGTTTGAACTGAAAGATATTGAAGAATCAAATGAAGTGTTCAAGACAACAGAATACAGTTCAAAAATCAAAGAATTCAGGAAACTTCCTCAAAAAGTTCAGATATCAATGGAAACGTTCAGCCCAAAGCCAATAGATACTGAACACGTCTACAAGTTGATTGGATCTTTATCAGCATTATTAACAACTAAAGATGAAAATGGCTGCAGATCTAAGAAATCAGAGACATCAATGAAGGAACTGCTAACGGAACCAAAACTTTTAAGTACTATAAATACTGGTTATAACTATCTCCGTAGTGTTTCTTGTTCAAATCTGGACAAGTGGAAGATACGATAAAGAAATGAAATGCTTTTATATACAAGGGTTGTACATGAGATCAGAAAAAGCAAAATCAGACCCGTGGTTCCGTGATATTGCAGTGACCATTGATGGGGATCTACTGTACACTGATCTTGATGGGACGGCTAAGACGGTGAATAAAATAAATAATGGGCAGACAGAGGAAGTGATCAGATTACAGAACTGGACACCTGCCAATCTCTGTGTCACTTCCTCTGATGAACTCTTGGTTACCATGTACAGTGATGATAAAACACAATCCAAAGTTGTCCGTTACTCAGGCTCCACAGACAAACAAACAATCCAATTTGATGATAAGGGTAAACCTTTATATTCAGGAAATAGCACTACTAAGTACATTACTGAGAACAAAACCCTGGATATCTGTGTAGCTGACTATAAGGCTGGTGCTGTAGTAGTGGTCAACCAATCTGGAAAGCTCCGATTTAGATACACTGGGCGTTCTTCTGTTACCAAGAAAAAGTCATATATACCTACCGCTACAACCAAGGACGCGTCATTTAAACCTTATGGGATAACAACAGACAGTGAAAGTCGAATCCTAATAGCAGACTGTAACAACCACTGTATTCACATCCTAGATCAGGACGGACAATTCCTCAGTTTTATCGACAACTGTGATCTGGAAAATCCCTTTGGAATATGCGTGGACAAAAATGATGACTTATTTATCGCTGAGTATTATACTGGGATTGTAAAGTGCATTAAGTATATAAAATAACACGCATATCTAATATTATGTATGCCGACAGCTTGCTGATTTTGACAAAAAAAAAAAAAACATTGCATTTGAACTGGTACATAAATTAACGCAATGAAATGTAATTCTTCGGGCGGAAATTTACTCAGTGTAAATAAGATGTAACTTTGCAATGTCCTTGTTATAGTTTACAATATATTGTTTCTGCTTTAAAAGAAAGACTATTTTCATTCCCAGGTAATCTACTATGAATTAGCTGCTGTTATCAAAAAAATTGCAGAAATGCCTCACCTAAATCTCAATATTTATTCCTACTGTCTATCGACTTGTTTAATATTTTAGTAGATTATTGTCCCTTGTATAGGAATCCTAGGAACGACATAATTTCCGTCTTAAATAAAATGGATAATGATTTCAGCTTGTGATAAATATACTTTACTTACTCGAGTTTATTTATAAAATTTTAATACGACATAAATTTTCTTGCAGAAGGAGTGTTCTTAATTTGGCGAACTTTAATGTAATTTTAAGAAATAAATTACAATAAAAGAAGCATTTAATGGGGGTAGTTGGACTAATTAATTAATATTTTCTGTATACTATTGTATATTTTTTTCCATTATTTTTCTTTTAAAAAGTACAAAAAAATTAATCTGTTGAATTTAAAAAAAAAAAGAAGATAGTTTCAATAAAACAATTAACATTAAACACAGTTGGCAATCCCTTTAACCAGGGAATTATATCTTTTTTACGGTCGTATGGACAGATCACTTAAGTGTAAAGTCTATACAGATATTTTTAAAAGATATCATATCGACCCAACGTTTGCAAATCAGGGATTGGTTTTAAATACCGTTGGTTTACCTTTATGCATTTTTTAAAAACTGTGTGGCCTGTTTTGTCACAATATCGTCCTTCTATTTATAAGATTCCTACTCTGTGATCCTTTCCAAAGCTGTTCATAGCATTATTGATCAATTTGCATGATATTATATACATTGTACTACATATATTTCAAAGGATTCCACATTACAATGTGCATAAGTGCTTAGATCCTTAATTTGTGTGTGTGTGTGTGTGTGTGTGTGTGTGTGTGTGTTATGAAAAAATTGTACCTTTTAGTCAATTTTAATTACGGGGCATTCATTTACAAAAATTAATATTTTATGTATACATGTATTTTTTCTAAAAGACAAATGATGAAATAATCATACATGAGATCGTAGCTTTATCAGTTGATTAAAAATTTATTTTATTTTAGATAGTATAAATTCAGAAGATCTATAATTATTCCTCCTAACATCATTTGATAGTTTCCCAGAAAGAAAAAAAACCCCACAGTTTGTGTAAAAAAAAGAAGATGAGAAATCACGATACATATCCTGATGAAACTTTGTGTATAACATTGAATTCTTAAACATTTCAGCCATATCTGAACACATACTACTACGCATAAAAATAAATAGTACACTCAAGAGATAGTGCTTGACCTAGCCTGTACATATGTGATCTTGGTGACAGAAATATAATTATATTGATTGATTTTTATTTTAAAAAATTGTTTATTTTTCTACATTCATGTTTTTTTTAAAATAGTAAGATTATATTCGTTATTTTTTTTTCCGAGGGATTTACCAAAGAGGATGAATAAGAGAAAGAAGAAAGCAGATATACATGTATCATCATAGTTTAAACAGAATTTGATTGATTGATTGTATACTGTTTAACGTCCCTCTCCAGAATATTTCACTGATATGGAGACGTCACCATTGCCGGTGAAGGGCTGCAAATTTAGGCCTATGCTCGGCACTCAGGGCCATTGAGCAGGGACGGATCTTTATCGTGCCACACCTGCTGTGACACGGGGCCTCGGTTTATACGGTCTCATCCGAAGGACCGCCCTATTTAGTCGCCTTTTACGACAAGCAAGGGGTACTGAGGACCTATTCTAACCCGGATCCCCACAGAATTTGAATGGAACCTTCGAATTAATTTTGGAAAAGACAACTTCAAGAAATTGGGACAGCCTAGATGCATTTCTTTCCAAACCAATTCAAAAAAAGAAAAATAAAACTAGAAAAAACTCAGTACTAGTATATGGTCTGTTTATTTCTCTTTTATTTATCAAAATTATTTTGATATATGCATGTAACAAGGAAAACCGTGTGTAACTTGTTTCTTTATTTTTAGGGTTTGCTTTGCATTAATGTGGAAATTTAATTCAGTTATATCTGTCTTCATTTGAAGGATTTTGCAAATTTTATTTATTTCTGCAGGCAGAAAAAAAGAAGGGTGGGGGATTGGGGGTGCTGAAAGAAAAATGTGTTGTTTGGGGGCAATTTATGTTAATTTTTCGTTTAATATATATTAGACAACTTGCACCATTTGCGTTCATTGAATGTAATACAAATAGTGCATTGGAAACAAAAGGAAATTACAGAATATCGCTCGGCAAATAATCAATAATCAAAAGGGAATTTCAAACAAATAAAATCTGAGCATGTTTGATACCTTGAATATATATGTCCACGTATATTTAATATTTTGACAAATGAAATCTAATGTTCTTTGAAAATCATTTTGCCACACTCCTAAAACGTTGAAAATTATATAAGGTTTTGTTCTTGACTATTGAGTTTTCTATTGTTGACTTGGATGTACATGTAGTTAAATAAGTAAATTCAAGGTTCTGTGATGCTTTGTAGTGTTTTTTTGATAAGGTGAAATGAGTAATAGCAGATGGTAAAGTTATAATCTTCCATCAATTTAAAGTAAGATATATTCTTTAGAAGTCATATTTTTATCACTAAAAGTAAGGACTTTAAATATTTTGTTGTTTGAAAAGTAAAAAAAAAATCTCTGAATTAAAAAAGATCCGAAAAACTTTTGACAATGTCAAACTATTAACGTCCAGTCTCGTTTATGGCAGAAGTTTGAACCAAAGTCGGATGTTTTGATTACATGTAAGTCACTGAGCGCCTGAGATAAAATATCAAATGATGTAAATATTGAAGTTCTTTTACAGCTAAGGACACACCTTAAGTTTAAATTTTTAAAACATAATGCACACAGAATGGACTGTCACTAGGAAAACATGTTAAAAGTATTAATGCACTTTTTCTTCAGGGGCTAAGCCTTAGGTTTCTTAACCTGTTTTTTTAAAAAGTAGGTTCGCTCTTCGTTGACAACCCAATCAGACCTGATAATCTGAGATAAATAAAAAAAAAAACATTTATATTAATTGTCAATATTAATTTTTCCATCAACTTAGACCTTCGGAAATATGGAAACTAAATATCATATCATAGTTCTCGTGGTACATGTACCCATGAATCCTCGATTAAGGGTGCATGAAAAGGATGGACATTACAAAGAGTAATTGATCTGAAAAAAAAAAATGTTAACAAATCCGTGGCAATGCCACAAAACATGAATTCCTTCCAGAGTGGAAGCTGTCTAAAAGGAGTAAGCATACCTTGTTGACAAGTAAAGTATTGACTTCTCTTATGCCCAATCATTTCAGATTAAAATTGTATACATTACATTTATGTATTTGTTTTAATTGAAAATCCTTTTATCGGTCATCCACATAAATCAAAGGACGTTTTTGGAATTGTTCTAGGGTACTAAAATTTATTTTTTGCTTATTTTTCTGATTTCTTTCTGTTTGAAAGATTTTTTAAGAATTCAAAATCTTCGAACAATTAATCAAATTTTCGTACAAGGATTCTTTATCCTGCAAAAATAAACGTAGATCTTTATAAAAGACAGGAAATAAAAAACTATTAGTACATGTCATGTTAAGATGTATTTATAACTGATCTTTTTTTTCAATTGCATAACATGAAGAAATTATCTTCTATGAAATAAAATAAATAAGTTTCACACAGACCTTCAATGAAAAGTTAATGCATAACGTTTATGAATGTATGCACTCTAGCGCATCATTTAAAGTCAAAGAGTTCATTTAATCGGAAATCACTTTGATAAAGTCAGTGACAATACTGAAAAAGTAAGTTTGTAAAATATTAACAGCTAGATTATAATGTTTCAACTTACGTTTTTTTTTTCTTTATGACGTTTTTTTTTATCTAATGAATAAGATAGATTGATTGTTGATTGTACATTGTTTAACGTCCCATTTCAGAATTTTTTAACTCATATAGAGAAGTCACCGTATACCAGTGATGGGCTTCAAATTTGTCCTATACTCGGCACTCAGAGCCATTGAGCATGGAGGGATCTTTCTCGTGACAGCACCTACTACGACACAGGACCTCTGTTTATGCGGTCTCATTCGAAGGTCCGGTCTCCACGTCCCACAGTGGTATTGGAACCCGCGACGTAAGTATCAACTCCATACTTGGCGACCCTAGAGCAGACGCTTTAACCATTGCACTACGCGGACGACTATAAAAATTGAAGATAAATATAAGCCAATTACACTATGCCTTTTATATATATATATATATATAGAGAGAGAGAGAGAGCACATTTGTTATAAAATGAAAATTGGGCCCATGATTAAGATTTATTTCAATTTTCAGAATAAGTAAAATCACTCATACGACTGGAATATAAAAAAATTTCTGATGTAATTAGGAAAAAATATTTTTACAATAACTAAGAGATAGAAAAGGATCCTTAGTATTTTCACATGGAAAGAAATATAAGAAGAAATACGTTCGAAAAAGTTTTTTTCACATTTCCAGATTCTTAAAGGTAATTTTCATACAATATGTTATTTTCAGTATAAAGAGAGATAACTCTAAATGAACAGAGAGCAAGAAGTGCACCTGTATATTTACCTGAAGATGATCTCGTGATAAGGTCCGCCATTACCGAATCCTCCCTTCACACATACAGAAATTAAACTGAAATGCTAGTGGTATATTTTTCTGTCAAAGGAACCTTTCTATCAGTTTGAAGTACCTCAGCTGACGTAAGTGTAAATGTCACTTTTTAGCTCTGCATATTAAAGAATTGGCTACTTTATTTTGATATATTGCTTAGAAAATGGA